CCTAGGATTGTGCCTGATGCTCAATAAATGATTGAAGTCCACCCTCCATATCTGTAGATTCTACACCCACTCAACCAACCTCAGCTTGAAAATATTTGAAAAAAAAAATTACATCTGTACTGAACATGTACAGATTTTTCCTTACTCCCCAAATAATGTAGTATAATATTATTTACATAGCATTTACATTGTATTAGATGCTATAAGCAATCTAGAGAGGATTTAAAGTATGCATGAGGATTGCATATGCAATATGCAAATACTATGCCATTTTATATAAGGGACTTGAGCATTTGTAGATTTGAGTATCTTCAGGGGATCCTGGAACCAGTTTCCCTTGAATACCAAGAGAGGACTATATTAAAATGTAAGCCAACATTTTATGAAGCTGTTCAGTTAAAATGATAGTTCTTTGCCACAAAAATCTAGCACGTTTTGTGGCAGCTAAGTAACTAATTCTAAGGTGTGCTGGCTGGTGAATTTGGAGAGTACCCACATTCCTTTGTGGGAAGATATTCATTCTCTGCCCCAACTAATGAGGGTTGTTGGCCAGATATCAGCCTTGGCTTAAACAGCACCACCTGATCCACAGGAGAGGCAGTTCTTTGTCTTTTGGTTTAACTCTGTCTTGTTTTCTTTCTCTTCTGCCTTTTTATTGAGGGGCCTGGGGGAAGTAACAAGACCATGCCATTGTTTTTCTCTTTTACACCATTAATTCTTAGACTGAAACTTGTCAGTGCATGGAATCAGAGCTCAGACAGTTATGTGAGAGAATTTGATGCACACCAAAGGGAATCCTCGTGAATCATTCTTGCCTCACTGTGAGCAGCAAGGCCAGGTTCAGAATTCAGAGCCTTGCTTTCTAGAATGACTAGTATAGTAGTTCCGGTTTCAGAGATCCAGTTTGGTCATCCCTATTCTATCCCCAAATATAGTTTCCCAGGCTTTGCTTACCTAACACCCCACAGTCCCATTCTGCCTCCTGGAGATTTGTGGTGGTTACCTGAATCCGAGTTCTGAGAGGTGTTCATGACTATCTCCTGGGTTTACTTCCCCACATGACTAGTTATTGAACCTAGAGTTTATTTGTTTAACTTTTAGAGGACACCTTATTCTCCCTTTTCTGCTGGAAGGGCAACTGTTGTTTCTCTATGTACTCTCAACAAGTTGGTTTTCTTGAGGGAAAACATCTGTACAAAACCTCTCTGGGCTTCATTCAGACAGGAACAAATGAGGCTCCCATGTCTACTTGAAATCAGAGGCCTGCATCTGTTTCTCTTGCTCAAAGTTATTATTATGTTTTTTTTTTTCCACTTAGGTTTAAGATTTCTTTTTTCTTTTGGAAGCATTGAGGATTGAGCTTAGGATAATCTACTACTGAGTTACAGCCCCAGCCCTTTTTGGTTTTTTAGACAGTCTTGCTAGGTTGCCTGGGCTGTCCTGAAACTTGCTATTCTCCTGCCAACCTCCCAAGTAGCTGGGCTTATTGGTTTATGTTTAAGATTTCTAAACTGGTAGGCTGCACCTGTGTGTAGTCCCAGCTACTTGGAAGGCTGAATAGGAGAATCCCTTGAGTCCAGTAGTTGGAGGCCAGTCTAGGCAATATAGTGAGACCCTGTTTAAACAAAAAACAAAAAACAGGGGCTGGGGATATAGCTCAGTTGGTAGAATGCTTGCCTTGCATGTACAAGGCCCTGGGTTCCATCCCCAGCACCACAAAGAAAAAAAAAAGGGGGGGCTTAAGACATTTCATTGAATCCCTCCACAATTATGATTCCCACTTACTTTTATTTCTTCCTCTATTATTATTATTATTTGTTTTGGTACTGGGGATTGAACTCAAGTGCACTCAACCACTGAGCCACATCCCCAGCTCTATTTTGTATTTCTGTTTAGAGGCAGTTCTCACTGAATTGCTTAGCACCTCACTTTTGCTGAAGCTGGCTTTGAATTCATGATCCTCCTGCCTCAGTCTCCCGAGCTGCTGGTATTACAGGTGTGCCACTGCTCCTGGCTTACTTTTTTAAAAGCTATTTTTTTTTTTATTATAAAGACAATGTCATTACAGAAAACCTGGACAGAGACCAAAGTAACAGTTAATTTTTTGGTTGGAATAAGAAATTCTCCCAGACAGAATTTATTCTATTTCTGGATTCATATTTTTCCATTAGTAATAATTAGCAATGAAATGATACAAGAGTACCCTCTCATCCATAGTGGTTTTGCTTTCCATGATTTCACATACCTGTGCATATAAGTTTGTTTTCCATTGATATAACAAAATATCTGGAAGGATGGATACTTTATAAAGAAAAAAAGTGTTTATTATTCATTTATTGCTACCAGAGATTGAACCCAGAGGTACTTTACCACTGAGCCACATCCCCAGCCCTTTTAATTAATTTATTTATTTTTATTTTGAGACAGGGCCTTGTGAAGTTGCTGAGGCTGGTTTTCGACCTGTGATCCTCCTGTCTCAGCTTCCTGAGCTGCTGGGATAACAGGTATTTGCCACCATGCCCTTAAGAAAAGAGGTTTCTTTGACTCACAGTTTTGGAGGTGGGAAGTCTAAACAATATGTCATTGACTCTGGCAAAGGCCCTTGTAGCTGTGTCACCTCAAGCAGATGGCATCATGGAGGGAGAGCATGTGAGAAAAGGAGATCACATTTTGAGACAGGAAGCCAGAGAGACTGGGGAAGGACCAATCTTCCTGGGTCCTGGGAGATCTACATTAATTGAGGGCAGTGATCTAGATTTCCCACTAGGCTCCACCTTATGATGATTCTACCACCTCTTAATGGAAGCCACACTGAGAACCAAGCTTCTGACACATGGACCCTTGAGAAACAAACAACATCTGAACGATAGCACTGGTCAACTGTGATCCAAAACTATTAAATGGAAATATCCAGAAATAAACAACTCCTAAGTTTTAAACAACTTTTATTATAGTATAAAAGCAATATATTGTTATAATTTTTCTATTTTATTATTAGTTGTTGTGCCTAATTCATAAATTAAACTTTATGATAGACATGTATGTATGGGAAAAAACACATATAGATAGGTCTCTTTATGGTCAAGGTTTCAGACATCTACTGAGGGTGGATAAGTAACTACTATATTCTTTTACTTTCTTCTACCTTCTTCTCTTTTTTTACTATAGTTCTTTTTCCTAATTGGCCTCAACAGATGACTAACTACATTTTGCTTTTTTTTTAATTTTTAAAATCTTCATAGGGGGCTGGAGTTGTGGCTCAGTGGTAGAGCACTTGCCTGGAATGTGTGAGGCATTGGGTTCGATTCTCAGCACTGCATATAAATAAATAAATAAAATAAAGGTTCATCAACAAATAAAAAATCTCTTTCTCTATCTATCTATATATCTATGTATTTTCATGGTTTTTAGCATTAGGAATTGAACCCAGGGCCTTGTGCCTTCTAAGCATTCCCACTGAGCTACACTCCCAGCCCTCCAACTCGAAATATTTAATATAGAGATTTATCTGTATTTACACTATCTTATATAGAGATTTCACCATTTTGAATTATCTTATATAGAGTTTCTGAATTATATACAGAGATTTAACCATTTCTGGTCCAGGATGGACTGAATCGACTTCTACACTCATGGTCCTTTAATGATCTTGTTAATCCCGAGGACAGTAACTCTGCAAGGTTACTGTGCCCTTCTTCATACCTTGTCTCCTAGCCACATTGCCCTCACTTCTACTGAAAGATCCTCTCTTCATTCCTGCTGAATGTTGTTTCTTTAAGGAAGGCTTTCTACTGTGTCATCCTTCCCACGAATTCCAGTCATGTTCAGCTCCAGGTTTGTGACAGAGTAATCTGTCTCGTATTTCTGTACCTGTATTTATTATTATTGTTATCTTGGTACTGAACTTCATCCCTGGTCCTTTCTATTTTTTATTTTGAAACAGGGTCTTGCTAAGTTGCTAAGACTGGTCTCAAACTTGCACTCCTCCTGCCTCAGCTTTCCCCTTAGTTTAGATTGATTACAGGTCACGTGTCCAGTTTATGGTGTTTTTTTTTTTTGTCACTTACATGATAACTTATAATTATTCAAACACAATGTAGATTTAACAGAATTGTAAAGGTATAACTACTATTTTCATTTAGTAACAATATTTGTAGAGTTTTAAAAAAAAGTTTAAAAAATTAAAAAAATTTACCTTTATATACATGAGTACAAACTCTGGAATCTTCAAAATAATGTGCTAGGTTTCCAGGATAAGTGGTTAAGCTGCTAACAGGATCTGGGCTCCCTTCCTAGTCTTTGCTATGCCAAGTCCCTCCTTTGGGGAAGCACTTCCTTTTTTGCAGAGGCACTGAGCTCCGACCCTATGTTGGCAAATTCCACTCCCCTGCCTACCCACAGAAGTGTTTTCACTTCTCCAGGGCCTGTGAGAGCCCAGGGAATGCCTACAATTTGCAGCAGTCACTACCCTCACATTTTTCCTTCCTGCTTCAAAAGGTGGCCAGAATCAAAATGATGAACCCAGGACTGGGGGTAGGGCTCAGTGATAGACCCCTTAGGTAGCAAGCTTAAGGCCTGGTTTCCAACCCTAACACTGCAAAGGGTGGGGGGAAGAATTGTCAAGTCCTAAAAAAGCCATCATAAATGATCCTTATTATCATCAAGGGCATGCGGTAAAATAATAACAGGGTGCAAATTCACTCCTAACACAAATTCTCATTTTTAAATGTGGAATTTCAACACTATAACTTAAAATCATAAAAATCTTTAAAAAACACCAAAGAAGACGAAGGAGATTTCTTTATCATAAGTAATTTTAAAATAAGAAAATTAAAATTGTTTTTAAAATCCTAGTCGATTTCTCTCTCCCTCTCTCTCTTTTGTTGGCCATGGCTGGAAGTGGGCTGGACCTTAAAACTTTGTGGTTTCGAAGAACGCTTAAATGCTGAATTAATCTAATGTGAAGAAAAAAAAAATAACAGCCTCATTCTCTCGCAGTCTAATCACAGACTTTTTTTTTTCCGTCCTAAGGGAGGGAGCCTTTAATAATGATCTATGTAAACTGATGCCCAGACGGCATGAGTTCGAAGAAGCTCTGCTCCAGTAAGTTAAAACCCGGGAAAGAGCAACCCCAAAGGGCAATCCCCGAAACCGAGAAGCTGCTTAAACAAGCACACCAATGCAAGGGACCGCAATGGCTCTGCTGGCGCGGATCCTGAAAGCTACTCGCCGCCCCGCTCCCGGGCGGGGCAGGCTTCTGGGCTCTGGGCTCCTATTGGGGGCGCGGGCCCAGGACAAAGGATCTGGGCGACCCGGGGCGCCACGGGCCGGAGACAGGGCCGAGGGGCCCCGGAGTCTCGCGGCCATGCCGGGGCCGCGAACCCTCGCCAACCTGGTGGAGTTTTTCTGCAAGGACGGTTTCAGCCGAATCCACGAGATCCAGGTAGCCGCGCACGCAGTGCGGGGAGGGCAAGCCGCGGGGGCTGCTCCTCCGAGGACGGACGCAAAGCCCGGGGGAGGGGATCCGCGTAGGGGTTGTCCGGTTAGGGGCGCCCGGGAAAGGGGCGCTGGGAAGGCGACTCCGGGAGGAGGCGGCGGGAAAGAGCCGCCGGGATAGGGATCTCCTTGGGAGAGAACTCCGGGGAGGGGAGTCGGGCTGGAGGACGGTGAGTGGCGGCGGGCAGGGGGCCAGGGTAAGGAAAGCTGTGGAAGAGGCGCCGGGAAGTGGCATCCTCGGAGGGGACGACCGAGAGGGAGCCCGGCGAGGGAGCAGGGAGGATTTCCTGGGGAGGGGGCGTCAGGGGGCGAGGCAAGGATGTGACTTCGGGCAGGGGTAGCTGGGAAGGAGCAGCGGGCGGTGGTCTCCCGGGAGAGAGGGAGCTGCGAGGTCCTAAGGGGAGCGCCCCCTGGGGATCGCGGTCTGGGAAGGCCGTGCGCAGCGCAGTCTCCACGCGGTGGGCGCGGGCACCCGGCTCAGGAGCACAGCCAGAAACTCAGGGCGCTTGGGAGCCCCGCGTGTTTCTACGTGATTGATAGCTTTGTGTTCAGGTCTAGTACTTTTTTGTTTTTTTTATAATTGGAAAAAGTGAAGTTCAGAGGCTTGTAGTTGCATAGTTACAGGGTTGACGCGTAAGGGCTGGGCCAGGGACTTGGTAAGATCCCAGATATGCCAGTAACCCTTGGCGAGATGATGTGGGATCCCTCGTTTCTCATCTTGACCCCGACCCTTGCCCCTCCATTTGCGTCTTTTATCCTGAGGTGGCCTTCCACCTGGAAGCGTCAATTTTCCGTCCCTCCAACTTGGGGTGGCAGCTGCCGCCTCCTGGTGTCTTCATCTGCTCGCCTTCTGGGGTTTGCAATCCTAGAACATAGCTACTTCTGGGATCCAGGCCCTTGGGCTCCCGAAACACCCTCTTCTCACACGCACCCATTTCCTTTTGTTGTGAGAAACTTACTGGTCCTAGGAGGCACTTTTCTAACCTCCCACCTGGGCTTCATTCATTTCTTGGTTCGTTAACTAGCCAATGCCCCAGATGGCGCAGGCGCCTTTCCTAAAGTCAGAGAAGTAGAAACCTCGCTAAGAAAAAAGCAACAGAGCATGAGGAGGAATTTTAATTCAACAGAAATCACAACTGGCCTCCTCCTCTCCAACCCTCACCCTTCATCATGATTGTGGGAGTCCAGAAGGTTTCTCTCTCTCTCTCTCTCTCTCTCTCTCTCTCTCTCTCTCTCTCTCTCTCTCTCTCTCTCTCTCTCTCTCCTATGAACCTAAGATTTTAGGACAAGAGTTTCCAAATACAGTGAAAACTATTTAATTTGCTTGTTATGAGTTCAATACAGCCTGATTTCTAAATTTTTATGCTTAATTTTTCTTGTATCCATCTCTACTTCCATCTGCATTTAACCTCACTCACATCATCAGTCCAGAGTTTGTTCCTTGGGCACGGGCTTCTTTGAAAAGCTGACCATGGTTAAAACCTGAATCCCCAAACAGGATATGTCTCAGTTTCCATTGACTTTTGTTTTTTTTTCCATTCATCTGCTCAGCCTCCACCTACCATGCTCAACCCAGCCAGCCGTTTTTGCTCACTGCTCAGACACATCTTTCACCACCACACCCATGCCCCCCGGGGCAGACGTGCCAGAGCACACAGTCAAGGAACTGACTCACTTGGTGCTTTCTCACAACACAGCAGGCAGGACCTCGGTGCTCCCAGTTAGACCTACTCTCTCTGGCTTCACCTTTTTCTTCACTCTTCAGAGAGCACCACCAGAATTCTCACGTCTGGCGTTTGAAGTACTCTTCTTCCTGCAGTTCCTCTGAGAACCGCTAGGGAGTGTTTTACAGCCTGTGGTTAGCCACACTGAAGCTCTAGGTTGGTTCTAAGTAAAGCCCTTCTTCTGGCTCTCCAGGTTGCAGTAAAGCAACGTTTCTGGGAGCAAGAGCATTATTCTGTGACCCATCTCATCCAGTTTACTTGCACTCACCTTGTAATTACAGAATGTTAACTCAAAGGAATCCTTGCATTCAGCTCTACAATTCAATTCTCCTCTTATAAACGGAAGAGATCCACAGTATTAGCTAAGTTAGGTCCAAGCTCACGCAACTCAGTAGCAGAGTATATGTACATATACCAAATGCTGTTTCAGGTGTGACAGAGCAGCAAAATCATGGGTACCAGAATCTTCTTTTCAGTGATAGCCCTTTGCAACCACTTGTATTGGGCTAGTCACTTATTGTCTCTAGACTATAGTTGGAGACTAACAATCTCCATTCATCCCGCTGGTTATAGTGAAGTCAAATGAGATTTGGGCTGTGAAACTGATAATAACAAATAAAGAACAGCAATGAACATTTCTAGAACTCTTTTCATATACAGGTGAAGTTCTAACTCCTACATGTGAGGCAAGTTCTATTATTTCATCATTTTGCAGGTGAGGGAACTGAGGTCACCCAGCTAGTAAACTGTGAGCCAGTATTCAAACTCCAGTATCTCTGTTTAAGTATTATCACTGACTGTACCACTTCACTGAAAAGTGCTGTAAACTGTGTGTAGTATTTCTATTGCCAGCCCCCTATTCTGAATGTGCCCTTCAGTAGCTGGATTTGCCTGAGCAGTAGTCCAGCAGTAGTCCATTTCTCAGTGGTTTCCATTATCAGCCACCCCTTTAGGGGTCCCATTCAGAGACCTGGAGTCTTTTTTTTTTTTTTTTAAGGGGGGGGGGGGGGGGGGGAGGGAGAGAGAGAGAGAGAGAGAGAGAGAGAGAGAGAGAGAGAGAGAGAGAGAGAGAGAGAGAGAGAGAGAGAGAGAGAGAGGGAATTTTTTAATATTTATTTTTTAGTTTTCGGTGGACACACATCTTCATTTTATTTTTATGTAGTGCTGAGGATCGAACCCAGTGCCCCTCGCATGCCAGGTGAGCGCAAGACCACTTGAGCCACATTCCCAGCCCAATCTGGAGTCTTTTGAGGTTACTTGTTAGAAGTGACCCCTTGGAGACTCACCCATTCCAGTTAGGTCTGAGTGTCTTCACCCAGGTGGACCTCACCCAAATCCACAGAAGGACTGAAGAGCTTTCACCTGTGGGCCAAAGAGTGGAGAGACAACAGTCTCCCTGGCCTGCCATTTCCAAGACTGGGAAATGGAGTGGTGAGAAAGGATGGTGGATGCCAAAGACAGCCTTCATCATTTTCTGCAGGGACAGTCCTGTCACACTGCGCCATGTTGGAGCCCCTCCCTTTTCTGTCTTTAATTGACCATCTATATTTATTGTAATTTACTCCTTCCTCCCTCCCTGTCTCCTTCCTTCTTTCACAACTTCATAGATATATGATTCATGTACCATGCAGTTCACACATTTGAAGTTTACAACCATCACCAAGTCAGCTTTAGAACATTTTTATTAAAATGCTCTAAAAAGAAACTCTAAGCTGAGCATGGTGGTGCACGCCTATCATCCCGGCTACTCAGGAGGCTCAGGCAGAAGGATCACAAGTTTGAGGTCAACCTGGACAACTTAGTGAATCCCTGACTTGAAATAGTAGAAAGGGCTGAGGATTTGGCTCAGTTGTAGAATATTCCTGGTTTTCTAGTAATTCCCTCCTAGAAAGAAAGACAGAAGAAAGAGAAAGAATTCCATAACCTTCAGTTGTCACTCCAACTCTCCCCTTCCTCTTGGCTAACTAGTTTTCTGTAGATTATTCTGGACATGTCATATGAATGGAACCACATAAAATGTGGTCTTTTGTGCCTGGTTTCAATGTTTTTCCAAGTTGCGGCAGGTGTCAGTACCTACATTTTGCTTATCCATTCATCAATTGATAGATGTTTGAACTGTTTCCGTCTTTGCCTATTATGAATAGTGCTGCTGTGAGCATTTGAGTATCATGTTTTCTTTTCTCTTGGATATTTATCTAAGAGTGGTTTTGCTGGCTAAAATAAAAAGTCTATATTTAACCCTTTGACCAGCTGCCAGCTGTTTTCCAGAGTGTCCACACCCTTTTTCATTCCCACCAACAGCATAAGAGGTTCTGATTTTTCTACATCCTTGCTTTATCTGTCCTTTTGATTATTGTCGTCCTATTTGGTGTGAAGTGAAATCTAATATGTTTGATTTGCATTTTCTTTTGACTAACGATATTGAGCTTTTTTCCATATGCTAATTAGCTACTTGTATATCTCTGGAGGAGTGTCCATTCAAATCCTTTGCCCAGTTTTTAATTCAATTACTATTACTCTTTTTGTACTATTGAGTTGCAAAAGGTTTTTAAAAACGTGTACTAGATACAAGTCCCTTATTAGATGTCTACTTTGCATTTGATCTGTATAGTGCTTTTGGAAGTATGGCCATTTTGACAATATTAATTCTGCCTATCCAAGAGATCTTTCTATCTTCTAAGTCCTTCTTCAGTTTCTTTCTTTAGTGTTCTGTAGTTTTCATTTTAGATTTTTTCCACGTTTTTTATTAGGTTGATTCCCAAATATTTTAATTTCTTTGAGTTTTTTTTTTTCTGTGAATGGGATAGATTTCCTAATTTCTCTTTCAGTTGATTCATCACTGATATATATTGGACAGCAAATGATTTATAGGTGTTAATTTTATATCTTTTTTCTGAATTTGTTTATGAATTCAAGAAGTTTTCTGGTGGAGTTTTTTGGGTCTTCTAAATACAGAATCATGTAGTCAACAAATAGGGATAATTTGAGTTCTTTCTATTTGTATTCCTTAGTTTCTTTTTTGTCTAATTGCTCTGGCTAGAGTTTCTAGGACTATGTTAAATATAAGTGGTGAAAGAGGGCATCCCTGTCTTGTTCCAGTTTTTACAGGAAATGCTTTAAATTTTTTCTCCATTTAGAATGATGTTGGCCTTGTGTTTAGCATATGTAGCTTTTGTAATGTTGAGGTATGTTTCTACTATCCCAAGGTTTTCTAGTGTATTGAACATGAATGGATGCCATATTTTGTCAAATCCTTTTTCTGCACCTATTGAGATAATCATGTGATTCTTGTCTTTAAATCTATTGATGTGATCAATTTTAAATATTGATTCTGTATTTTATTGATGCAAGGTTGTATCCCTGGGATGAACCCCGCTTGATCATGGTGCACTATTTTTTAAATGTTTTGTATGCAATTTTCCAGTATTTTATTAAGAATTTTTGTATCTATGTTCATCAGGATTATTGGTCTGAAATTTTCTTTCCTACACGTGTCTTTGTCTGGTTTTGGTATCAGGATGATACTAGCTTCATAAAATGCTTGGAAGAGTTCCCTCCTTTTCTATTTCATGGAATAATTTGAGGAGGCTTGGTGTTAGTTCTTCTTGGAGGGTCTTGTAGAACTTGGCTGAGAATCTGCCTGGTCCTGGACTTTTCTTTCTTGGTAAGCTTTTGATGATGTCTTCAATTTCCTTGCTTGAAATTGATCTGTTTAAATTTTCTATGTCCTCCTGATTCAAACAAATCCTTGTCAATTTCAAGAATAAAATAAACCACAACACAATAATAGTGGGTGACTTTAACACACCTCTTTCACCACTGGATAGATCTTTCAAAGAAAAACAAAATAAAGAAACTATAGAACTAAAAAATATAATTAATACTTTAGGCTTAACAGACATATATAGAATGTTTCATCTGTCAATGACTGAATACACTTTCTTCTCAGAAGCACATGGATCCTTCTCTAAAATTGACTGTATCTTAAGGTACAAAGCAACTCTTAGAAAATAAAAAAAATAGAGATAATACCTTGCATCCTATCAGATCATAATGAAATGAAATTAGAAATAAATGATAAAATAAAAAAAAATAGAAGTTACTCTAACACCTGGAGACTAAACAATATGCTATTGAATGATGAATGGCTAGTAGAAGAAATCAGGGCTGAAATAAAAAAATACTTAGAGGTAAATGGGAATATCGATACAACATATCAAAATCTCTGGTATACTATGAAGACAGAGATAAGAAGAAATTTATTGCATTGTGCTCATTCATTAAAAGAATAGAAAGTCAACAAATACATTAGCTAACATTACATCTCAAAGCCCTAGAAAAAAAAGACCTAATTAACACCAAAAGCAGTAGATGATAGGTAATAATTAAAATCAAACCTGAAATCAATGAAATTGAAACAAAAGAAACTATCCCCCCCCCCGCCAAAATCAACAAAATGACAAGTTGGTTCTTTGAAAAGAATCAGAGAAAGAGAGAAAACTCAAATTACTAAAATTGGTGAATGAAAAAAGGAAATCTCATGATGGACACCACTGAAATACAGGTAATAATCAGAACCTATTTTGAAAATTTATACCCAAATAGAAAATCTTGAAGACATGGAAAAATTCATAGAGATATAAGCTACTCAAATTGAATCAGGAGTTATGTCTATTTTTTTTTCCCATGAATTCCTTAACATTTTCTTTATAGAGAATCTTGCCATCTGTGAACAGAGATGATTTTGCTTCCCCTTTAGACTAGAGTCTAAATGCCTTTCCCTTCCCTTTCAGGTTTTTAAAATTATTTATTTATTTATTTATTAATGTTTTTATTCCCTTTCATGCTGGGGATTGAACTTGTACACAATGCTAGCCATGTGCTCTATCACTGAACCCCTGGAGGCCATTTTTAGAGGCCCACTGTATTTCCCCAGAGGACTCACTCCACAGAGCAGGCTCCTGTAGAGCTGGGCTGTGGGGTAGGGGTTGGTTGATTGGGGCTCATTTGGCTTAGGATGTGTGTCTCCTTAGTGCATCTCTGTCCATGAAGACATTTCTCTCTTATTGAAGTATGGCATTTTAAAAACCACACGGCTAACAAATAAACAAGCCTCTAGGCATATGATTATGTGCATATGTAAAGGTACTGCTCTGATATAAAGTCCCATAGAATGAATATACAGTTTCCCTCTGCCCCCATTTTCTGCTTCTCTAACACGCAGGAATGTTGACATTGAAGGTATATCATATTTGTGTGTTTTTTCCTTTTTTTGGTTTCTCCACGGTATTGCAGCAGAAGCACACACAGGAATATGGAAAAATCTTCAAGTCTCACTTTGGTCCTCAGTTTGTAGTATCTATTGCAGACCGCGACATGGTGGCTCAGGTGCTCCGGGCGGAGGGGGTCGCGCCCCAGAGAGCCAACATGGAGTCCTGGCAGGAGTACCGAGACTTACGAGGGAGAGCCACCGGGCTCATCTCAGCGTGAGTATGCAGGCCAGGCTGTGCCAAGCGTTGGAGGGAACTCAGGAAGGAATGCCCATGACACGGGTTTCCTAAAAGGCAGCTATTTAAAAAGTACAGAAGTTTCAGTGGAATAGTGTCAAATAGCCACTTTGCCTGATCTCCTAACACCAGGAGCTGCAGAGCTCCGTGGGGCTCTCCCTCCTCCTCTGTGAAGAGGTCTGCTGGCTGGGATAAGGTGGGGGCCACAATGACTGAATGATGGGCCAGTGCTCTTCTCAAGCAATGCTTTGCAGCTTAGGTGTCCACTCAGTGACACCCAGGGAGCTAAAGGACAGGGGAAGGAGGGTTGTTGACTTTTTATCACTGTAACAAAAGACCTGAGATAATCAACTCTAAAAAAGGAAATATTTAATTTGGCTCATACTTTTGGAAGTTTCAGACCATGGTCAGTTGGCTCATTGCTTTTGGGCCTGTGTTGAAGCAGCACATTATGGGGGGGAGCAAGTAATGGAGGAAGAGTCTCATCTCCTAGCAGCTGGGGAGTGCAAGAGACAGAGGCAAGGGAAGGGTTCCCATGTGTGAAAGGACACATCCTCACACAACCTAACTTCCTCCCCTGGGTCCTACCTCCTGAAGTCACCGTCATCTCCCAGTAGTGCCATGGACTGGGGACCAAGCCTTTATTTAATGTGGGCCTCTGGGGACACTTACCCAAATTGTAGAAGAGGGTAAGACCCAAAAGCAAATCTCCTAGTGGGGGCTAAGAATCTCCAGCACCATGGTGATTTTCGTGTTTCATAGCAGACTGTGATAATTAATTCTGAACAAGGTTCACTAACATGCTGGTACCTTTGAAGAAATAATTGGCACAGTTCCAAGCAGGGAGGAGGCCAGAATGTTTATGTAATCCCTGACCCAAATTTCTGTGGGCCAGAGATTCAATTTCTGTCTCTCTCTCTCTCTCTCTCTCTCTTTATGTGTGTGTGTATGTATATGTGTGTGTGTGTGTGTGTGTGTGTGTGTGTGTGTGTGTATACATGGCATATTGCTGGTGACTTTAGAACAGGTGGGAAGGGGAGAGGGAATGCCTGGCCCAGGAGACTGGCTGGCTTAGCTGGGGTCACCCAAAACAGATCCCAAGGCAAGGGTTTAATTGCAGTGGTTCATTTGGGAGTGGGGAAGCCAGGAAGGAATGGGAGAGAAACACTGAGTGTGGATGGATGGGAGGGTTGCTTTTGGGGGCCACTGGACAAAGCTCAGCCTCACTGGAACCCTCTGAGGGACAGTGTGCCCCGGTCCTCAGACCTGCTGCAGACTGTTCACTGAGCATCCTGCCTTCATGGTGAGAGGTGTTGCTAATCAGTTTAGGGAGCTTGGCATCCTCTAAAGTGCAGCCAGGAGCCCCCAACCCCCCTGGGAAAGAGCTGCAGTCACCCTTTTTGGTTTTCTTTTTAGATTTATTTTATTATTTTCTTGGTACGGGGTGGGGTGGGGTGAAACTCAGAGAGGCTTTACCACTGAGCTACATTCTTAGCCCTTTTAATTTTTCAATTTTAAGACAGGGTCTCATTAAGTTGCTGAAGCTGCCTTTGAACTTGTGATCCTCCTGTCTTAGTCTTCCAAGTAGCTAGGATTACAGGTGTGCACTACTATGCCTGGCTCTCTTTTTCTTTTTAAATATCAATAGTAACCCATGGTGCCCTCAGATTAGTTCGAGGACACCTGTGGATACCAAAATCTGCAGTATTTGCACAAACCCAACACAATCCTGTATGCTTTAAATCATCTCTAAATCATAATTTTTAAAAAATATTTTTGATATTCAGTTAGTTGAATCCATGGATGAGGAACCCACAGCTATGAAGGGTCAAGATGAGAAGAGTACATACGAATTTATACATATATACTTTGTGTGTATATATATATATATATTATACACAAGTATAATATATATATATATACACACAAAGTATATATGTATAAATTAGCATATATTTCTCTTTTTCTAATCAGTTTCATATCTTTAAAATATGGTATTATTATGAGAAATATTAAATTATGTTACAATATTATCATGATAGGTTTTTCAAAGGAAATCATATTACATGATTCCCAGGGGTATTTTTTCCTTAAACTTTGTTTCAAGGAGCTGGGTACTGTGGTGCATGCCTGTAATCCCAGTGGCTCGGGAGAATCATAAATTCAAAGTCAATCTCAGCAATTTAGTGAGGTCCTAAGAAACTTAGTGAGACTCTGTCTCAAAAAAAACAAAACAAAACAAAACAAAAAAAACAAAAAACAAAAAAATGGAAAAGAAAAAAATGAGCTGGGAATTAAGTGCCCCTGGATTCAATCCCTGGTGCAAAAAAAAAAAAAAAAAAAAGTTTGCTTCAAGGGCAGCAACTTAAGCTCTAACAGGAGTTAAGTTATTCCTCCTCTCTTCCCAGCAGCTCTTGCTGACCTCATTTTGATCTGTAGCCCTTGTTTATCTAATTTTGACTGGCAGCTCTCATTGATTGGCAGCTCTTATTGATTCTTTATGGATGGGAAGTTTTTCATAGGTTTTGAATTCCTTCCCAGAATGTCAATGTAAGTAAGATTATCTGAAATTCTTGTTGTTTTTCTAGGGAAGGTGAACAGTGGCTCAAGATGAGAAGTGTATTCAGACAAAGAATTCTGAAACCGACAGATGTGGCCATTTTCTCTGGAGAAGTCAACCAAGTTATTGCTGATTTGATTAAAAAAAATCTACATCCTCAGGAGCCATGCAGAAGATGGGGAAACAGTGACTAATGTCAATGATCTTTTCTTCAAATATTCAATGGAAGGTGAGGTGGAGTCAGAAGATGGGAAAATTGCCAAAAAAGTAGTTTTCTTTCCTTGAGCATTTCCTGTGCCCCAGGCAGTGTAAGCCCAGTGCATACACACATGTCATCCCCACAGTGCTAATGACACCACTGGTCATGGGGGACCAGTTCTGCTTCTTCACATTCCTTAACATTAGAGAAGCACGCGGAGGCAGGCATATGAACCAGGGTTTATTTATAAAGGGGTAACATAGACACTTCTCCTGGGAGGGAGAAGGGGTCCATAGCTGGTATCCTGGTATCCCAAGAAATGAGAGCGTTCTGCCTCTTTTATACATCCTAGATTTTCTTTGTTCTCCTGCTCTCTCCCCTTTTATCTCTCTCCTTCCTGATTAGGCTCAGGAGATGCTCAGGTAGGATGGCCAAAAGGTGAGAAGCAGATGGGCTGGAGGGGCTAAGGTGGAGTGATCTGGGGAGGAAGGGGGCCTAGGGTGCATTAATTAACAACTTTTCTAACTCCATATAAGGAGGGACAGTCCCTGGGCCAGGTTACCCTAGCAATAGGTTAGAGCAGGGGCCAGTTATCTTGATAAGGGTGGAGGAAGGGCTCTGAAGACATTAACATTTCAGTCTCCAACTTCAGAGACCCAAATTGGCCTTCATTCTCTGGATCACCTATTTATACGAACTGCCTGTCTTTAATTCTGGCTTCACTAGCATGAACCAGGTGTGTCCCTGCTGTTGGACAAAAGGGAGAACTGAGACCTCCTAAAGAACTTACTTAAGGTTATACCCCAATTCCTTTTCTTAGAGACTAAAATCAGTTTCAAATCCAGGTCATTTTAGTTGAAGAATCCATGTTCCTAGTCACTACACATTTTTTTAAACCATAATTAAAAATAAAGGAACCCACAGTTATGAAGGGATAGACTGTATATGTGTGTATGTATATTTGGTCTATCACAAAGTCATTCCATCTTGTCGGATAATTCAGATACCATAACCAAAAGGTAGTCATCAAATATTCTCCTGCTTCCTTATTGTGACTAAGGCCCTCGGTTTCTCATGTGTCCATCAAGATCTGTTATGTACCTACAATGGAATACACATGAATATTCTTTTTACTTTTAAAACATAAATGATAGTATACAAAACACACACACACGTGCGCGCGCGCGCGCACACACACGTATGTATTTTAGATCCTCCCTTTCCCCTAGCATATTTTAAGCACAACTCATTTTCCTTACATCTTGATTATTTTTTCTTTGGGGGAAGGCTGGGCAGGGGTACCAGGGCACTTGACCACTGAGCCACATCCCAACCCTATTTTTTTTTTTTTTTTTTGGTGCTGGGAATTGAACCCAGGGCCTTGGGCATGCGAGGCAAGCACTCTACCAACTGAGCTATATCCTCAAGTATACAAAACATATTGCTTTTTTCTTAAAAATATGTCTGGAAGACACTTCCATCAGGTTTCTCATTGTTTTTGGTGGTACTGGATCTTTTTAAAATAATGTTTCCATTACTTTGAATTTTTAACTCTTCTTTTTAACTTTAAAAAAGATTTTTATATTGCCTTTCTCTTTGTTTTTCCATTTTAATTGGCTCTTGTTAGTTATATACAACGTTAGGATTCATTTTGACATAATTATAAAAGCATGGAATATAATTTGCTCTAATCCAGTCCCCAGGACTTCCCCTTTTCAATCCTTCCTCCCTCTCTCTGTTCTCTTCTCTTTACTGATCTTCCTGCTATTTACTTATAGTTTTTTAAAAATAATCAGAGTCTTGTGGATATACATGATGATGAGATTAAGTCACATGAATTCCATTGTTCTTTCCTTATCCCATCCCCTCCCATTCCTGTTCAATCCCCTTCCTCCATTCCACTGATCTTTCTTCTATTTTTTTTAAATCACACCCCCTTATTTTTGGATTATTGCCTGCCTATCAGAGAAAACGTTTGACCTTTGACTTTTTGGGACTGGTTAATTTCACTAAGCATGATAGCCTTCAGTCCCATACATTTACAGGAAAATCTTTATGGCTGAGTAATACTCTACTGTGTATATGTACCACATTTTCTTTATCCATTCATCTGTTGAAGGCCATCTAGATAGGTTCCATGGCTTGGCTACTGTGAACTGTGCTGCTATAAACATTGATGTGGCTACTGTAGTATGCTGATTTTAAATCTTTTGGATATATATGGAGAAGTGGGATAGCTGGGTCAAATAGTGGTTCCATTCCTAGTTTTTTCGGGAATCTCCCTTTAGCTTCCCAGAATTGCTCCAATTTGTGGTCCCACCAGCAATGTATGAATGTACCTTTAACTCTTAACTTTGAAATTCTGATAGGAATGTTTTCTAAAAATAGCAATGACATCAACAGAGAACTGTAATATAAACAAAGTGAACCATCCTACCCTCCACGGATCCATGAGGTCACTTCCTCTGTTCCTTTAGCTCTCTGGGTCTGGGATCCCCAGGAGGAGACAGTTTTCAATTATCCTCATTGAGCCCCGTGATGGAAAGCTGATTCATAGTCTCCAAATGAGGCAGGAAGGGGCCCTGGTTGGGTTTTGCTTCCTCCCTCCTCAGAACTAGGACAAACTAGAGAGGCGGGTGTGAAGGGCCTGAGCAGCATCAGGCTTGGAGAGCTCACTCTCCTCACAAGGTTTGTCATCTCAGACCTGAGTTCCAGTCCTCTGCAACCTTAAACATGCTACTTAAACTTTAGGATTCTTCTTATCTCGTCCTTCTGATGGGCTTCCCCTCTACCCACCCGGTACCACTGGGGATTGAACCCAGGGGTGCTTTATTACTGGGCTACATCCCTATCCCTTTTTAATTTTGAGATAGGCTCTTGCTAAATTGCTCAAGTTGTGGATCTCCTGATCCTGGGTCACTGGGATAGACAAGTGTGCACCCCCATGCCTGGCTCTGGTGGGTTTCCTAATATGTATTTAAGGGCTGTAAAGGGAGCTATTTAAATGAAGCAGAGTTAACCATGCACAGCATCCTGTAGTTCAGGATGGAGATAGGATGATAAAAGTGACTCATGAAAGGCTCCCAGAGCATCCTTTGTGTGTGTGTGTGTGTGTGTGTGTGTTGCTGAGGACTGAACCCATGGCCTTGGGCACACAAGCTATGCACTCTCCCATTCTGCCACATCAGCAGCCAGCCCCGTTAGACCACTTTTTAAAAAAATATTTTTTATATTTATATTTTAGGTATATAAATATAAAATGGACACAACACAATGCCTTTATTTTTACGTGGTGCTAAGGATTGAACCCCGGTCTCGCCCATTATAGGCGAGTGCTCAATCCCAACCCTCACTTAGACTACTTTTGAAAGTTATTTTTAATGCCACATATTACGTATCGATAGGGTATTGATAATGGTAAATGATGGAGGAGAAGAGAACTTTTAAACTGTCTTCCCCACCCAGGTGTGGCCACCATCCTTTACGAGAGTCGCTTAGGATGCCTGGAGAACCACATCCCCCAGACAACAGTGGAGTACACTGAAGCCCTGGAGCTCATGTTCAGCATGTTCAAGACCTCCATGTACGCAGGTGCCATCCCCAGATGGCTCCGCCCCTTCATCCCCAAACCCTGGCGAGAATTCTGCAGGTCCTGGGATGGACTCTTCAAATTCAGTAAGAGAAGGCTGGAGGAAGGGCACCTATGGCATCTATAGGGTGATGGGACTGCAGCCGTGTATCTAGTGTTTCCAGGCAGGGGGTGATTATGGCTGAGGATGATCCGATGGACTTCCAGGGGTTATTTGCATTCATACCTTTTTCATATTTGTTTTTCAAATAAGCAAGAAAAGCATGTGGGGTGTGATTACTAGTTATATGGCCTAATTTTCATTTTATAATTCTTTCTATTTGAGCAAATGTGCTAGCAGTGACACATGCACATAAAATTCCCTCCGGAAGATAATATCTTTAGTCCAGTAAATCTGTCAGTACTCAAACTGTTGAGGGAATTGGAGGCTGATGGACTTTTATTTGAACATTCTCCATTGCAGCTTTTTTGAAAGGGATAGATTCATTTGTTTTGTTACCTAGTGAAAACGAGCCAGGAAGATGAATATTTATTTATTCTCAAAGTGACACTATAAAGAAGATTTGCTTTCTTATGTAACTCAGAAAATTTGGGGCCAGGTGTGGTGGCACCCACCTGCAATCCCAGTGACTCAAAGCCAGCCTCAGCAATGGTGAGGCGCTAAACAACTCAGTGAGATCCCGTCTCTAAATAAAATACAAAATAGGGCTGGGGATATGGCTCAGTGGTTGAGTGCTCCTGGGTTCTATCCCCAGAATCAATCAATCAATCAATCAATAAATGGGGACGATGATATTGAGGCTTGACCCAGGAGTGCCAAACCACTGAGCTACATCCCCAGTTCTTTATCTTTTTATTTTGAGACAGGGTCTCTCTAAGTTGCTTAGGGCCTTGCAAAATTGCTGAGGGGCCTCAAACTTGAGATCCTTCTGCCTCAGCCTCCTGAGTCTCTGGACTACAAGTATGTGCCACCAAGCCTGGCATCAAATTTTTTTTTTTTTTTTTTTTTTACCAAAAAGGTGTTTCCAAAAAGAAAAAAGTGATTTCCAAAATGCCTTTCCAAATGTTTTAGAACAATGCTAATATCAAAAGATGTGTCCCGTGGCGTCTTTTTGAAGGTCAGCATTCATTTAAATGTACAGGTTCTGTTCTAGATTATATTTTGTTGTCTTTTTGTCGTAACATTTCAGATAATAATCATGGCCTTTGCCCTGCTCAATTCATTTTTCTTTTTCTGGAACCAGAGTGGGAAAAAAAGAATTGCATTCTTGTTTCTCTATATTATAATAATATAATAATAACTCCTTGGTTTTTGGATTAGAACATTTCCAGATAGATATTACTTTCAGGAAGGAATAAATGTTTACATTGTCTTTAGTTTTTCATTCATTTATACAAGTAAGTGTATGAATGAGACCCCAAGGCTGACAAGAGATCAAGCTGGGTTTCCCTAGCCTCTGTCACCTGCTATGCAAACTTCATTGGGTTAGTTACATCATGGGGAGGACCAAGAGAGACTTGAGACAGAAGTGGTTATTCTCAACCCAAACTGCTTTTCAAAGAAATACCATTTTCCAACAGGCCAAATTCATGTCGACAACAAGTTGAGGGACATACAGTGCCAATTGGACCGAGGGGAGAGGGTGAGCGGGGGACTTCTCACCTACCTCTTCCTTAGCCAGACACTGACGCTGGAAGAGATCTATGCCAACATGACGGAGATGCTGCTGGCCGGCGTTGACACAGTAAGTACCGGTGCTTATTTTCTCAATGAATGAAGCACGGCACTGCTTTCCTCATGCTCTGGTGGAGTGTTTCCTTATAGAGAAGACACTTTTGTTTTTCTTTTTTATTTATCAGTTTTTAAAAATTCTTTAAAATTTTTTTTTTTTGCATTGGCAAATTTCTTTTTTTTTATTATTATTTTTTTTTATTGTTAGTCGTTCAAAACATTACATAGTTCTTAATATATTAAAAATTTTTTATTTCTAATTAGTTATACATGATAGCAGAATGCATTACAATATAGAGCATGATTTTTCATATCTCTGCTTGTATACAAAGCATATTCACACCATTCATGTCTTCATACGTGGACTTAGGGCAATGATGTCCATCTCATTCCACCATCTTCCCTACCCCCTTGTCCCCTCCCTTCCCCTCCCACCCTCTGCCCTATCTAGAGTTCATCTAATCTTCCCATGCTCGCCCCCCCCACTAAGAATCAGCCTCCTTATATCAGAGGAAAACCTTCAGCATTTGGTTTTTTGGGATTGGCTAACTTCATTTAACATTATATTCCCCAACTTCATCTGTTTACCGGCAAATGCCATGATTTTATTCTCTTTTATTGCTTGAGTAATATTCCATTGTGTTTATATACCATATTTTCTTTATCCATTTATCTACTGAAGGGCATCTAGGTTGGTTCCACAGTTTAGCTATTGTGAATTGTGTTGCAATAAACATTGATGTGGCTGTGTCCCTGTAGTATGCTGTTTTTAAGTCCTTTGGGTATAGACTGAGGAGAGGGATAGCTGAGTCAAATGGTGGTTCCATTCTTAGTAGGGCAAATGCTTTAAGTACACTGTACATGTTTGTATAGTTGGCCTTCCATATCTGCAGGTTCCATACCTGTAGATTCAGCCAACTCTGGATTGAAGATATTCAGGAAAAAAAATTACATGTGCATGAACATTATTATATCACTTCTTAGGTAATACATTATGACAAATATTTGCATAGATATTTCATTAGGTGTTATGAATCTCCTAGGATGATTAAAAGTATGGGGGAGGGTGTATATAAATTATATGTATATCATATGCAAATGTCATACCATTGTTTTATGATTTGAGCATACCCAGACTCTGTCCTGGAACCAATCCCTACATATACTGAGGCCACCTGTACTAGCAGAAAATCGCCAAGAGAAAACTTTCTTTCTGTAAAATGTAAAATAAAACTACACAGTCAATTCTATGAAAAACATAACCACAATTCCATAATCACACACGTAAAATTGCAGTAAGTGTTCCAGTTTAAAAATCATCCCCATTTTGCCAATATTTTGTTCACTATTTCATAATATCAGCCATGAAGAGGGGACAGACATTAAACACCTTGTTATTTACCCTTTAAAATTTTCCAAGCCATGGAATTCATTTTATAAAGCCTGGTTAACTTTAAAACCACAACCTGTTGGGCTGGCATTGTGGCTCAGTGGCAGATTGCTTGCCTTCCACGCATGGGGCATTGGGTTTGATCCTCAGCACCACATAAATAACTAAAATAAAGGTACTGTGTCCATCTACAACTAAAAATTAAAACAAACAAAAAAAAGATAAAAACAAAACCCATGACCTATTATACAGAGAGTGTAAAGACAGAAAACTTAAAACAGTTTGACTTGTAAATATGTGTGAATGTGCATGTATGTGTGTAAACATATCAATTTGAAGCAAGAAAATAGAATCCAGACCAAGAAGGGTTCATTATCAGAATGAAACAGCACTGCCAATGGACTTTGAGGTGATCCCATTAGCAAGACACTGTGGCCACCCCCTTCCTGTCTATGTGCATATATGTGTCTGTAAGGGATCGTGTGGCCATGCAGAAGGGTGGTGAGTATACACTGGGTTGTTAACAGGGGTTTTCTGGCTGAGGTCCAGGGACCGGGGAGTCATGTTCCTTCCTAAAACATGTAATATGACACATTTGCTTGTGTTTGAAAAATGGTATATATGTGAGTGTAGATGCAGAGTAGTTTTATTTATTTTGTGGTTCTAGGGATCCAACCCATGGCCTCATGAATGCCAGCCGATCCCAGGGCCTCAGAGCAAGGACTCTGCTGCTGAGCTAAACCCCCAGCCCTAGAACAGTTTTAAATTTTGCTAAAAGGAAGTGATGAAACAAGGAAACAAACAAACAAACAAAACAACAGGCTTGTACTTCCAGTATGTGGTAGAACATAATCAATTGAATGAAATTTCTGGCAGCAAAGTGGGGAAGTGCTGGGCTGGAGGGGGTGCTTCTGCTGGTGTGTCTGGAAAGTAAGAAGCAAGGTTGCACCAGACCCTGCTGTATTGAAAGCACTAACCTGAACGCCCCCCTGGCAGCATCTCCTAAGGAAGGGGTTACCACCTACGCTGAACAAGTGGGAGATCTTAGCAATTGAGCTTGTCACATCATGCTTTTCCTTCATGCAAGTGCTTTCTGACCTTGATTATGGCACAGAGCTTCATTTTAAAAGGGGGAAAAAGAACCCCCCAAACCAAAACCAGGGTTGACTTTTTGGTACTGGGAATTTAATCCAGGGGTGTTTTACCAGAGAGACACATCCCCAGCTCTTTTTATTTTTTATTTTGAGACAGGTCTCATTGAGTTTCTTAAGGCCTTGCTAAGTTTCTGAGGCTGGCCTGGAACTTGTAATCCTCCTGCCTCAGCCTCCCAAGTTGCTGGGATTACAGACATGCACCATTGTACCTGGCTAACCTATATCACTTTATGATAATGTCACTTAAATATGCTGAAACAAAAAACAGTATAAACTTCTTCCAGAAATTCTGCAAGGATAAAACAAAAAGAGTAAGAATTAAATGGAAACTAACTGATGCAATCAGTGATTATCCTGATTATGTGAAAGTGATGAATGGTGTGAATTTGCTCACACCAAGTCACCACTTGCACCTGGAAAGAATGAAAGAACCGCCTAGTCTAGGAGTCAATTTGTACACACTTGTACCTCTTGCCCCCTGGTGGTAATTTAGAGTATCGCAATGAGTGGGGTTGAGATTGTACTGGGTCCTTTTCTGTGTCCTGGAATGAAAGAAAGCCAGGAAACATTCTTAAAATTTCAAACTCATTTTTTTTTTTAAAGGAATCAACTTTAGTGCAGTGTGATTTGTCCATAATAAACTGCATCCATTTAAACTGTATAATTTGATACAGATTGTTTGCAGCAAGCATTTATGAAACCACTACCATATTTTTCTAAAGTTTATGTCAGTGGAATTATACAATACATATTACCCTGCATCTGGCTTCCTTCACTCAGAGAAATGACTTTGAGATTCATCCATGTGGTAGTATTTAACAGTAATTTATTCTTTTTTTTTTTAAAGAGAGAGTGAGAGAGGAGAGAGAGAGAGAGAGAGAGAATTTTTAATATTTATTTTTTAGTTCTCGGCGGACACAACATCTTTGTTGGTATGTGGTGCTGAGGATCGAACCCGGGCCGCACGCATGCCAGGCGAGTGCGCTACTGCTTGAGCCACATCCCCAGCCCTACTCTTTTTTTTTTTTTTTTAATATCATTGAATATTGTACCATTGCATGCCATGTTTCATTTTCCCCTAAGGACATGAGTCTAATATAATTTTTCTGTTCTCTTAATAGAAAGCATCTAAATAATTTTTTCTCATTTATAAGGAAGAGCTTGAACATTGTATTATATGTTATAAATTATGGGAGAGCCTGCTCTCTATAAGCATGTACTAAATTTCTATAGGGATCTCATTTAAATGAGATTTTAGTGAATCAAATCCATGTGATAAATGTTTATAGTGATCTCATTTAAATGAAATCCGAGTTAGTAGAATACATTAGGGTAGCAATCGAATAATATACCGTGACCAAGATGTGTTCAATATCAGAATGAAACAGAACACTACCAATTGACTTGGAGGAGAAATGTGGTATAATTCATGTGGTATAATTAAATAGATTGAAAGAAAAAGAATTTAGACTGTAGAATTTTCCTTACAAGCAAGTGAAATACAGTCACATAGATAGTGGTATTAATTTTAGTGGAACTCTTGGGACTTAGTATAATAAAATAGAGTTATTCTAAATAACTGGAAATGTAATCAGACCAAGAAGTGGTATTAAAAAATGATATCGCAGAGCTGGGTGTGTAGCTCAGTAGTGGAGTGCTTGCCTGGTTGATGAGAGGCCCTGGGTTCAATCCCCAGTACCATATTAAAAAACCAAACCAAACCAAATTAAAAAACCACTACACAAATGAGAGACTCTATGGCTAGCTGCTGATTTTTGTTGATAAATTGATAGGAACAATGACTGACTGATGTCCTTCTAGCACTCCTCAATCTCTAGATTAGGGCAACTGGAGCAGGCCAGGCCCAGCCATCATGGGCCTGTGGGATGCCAGAATGTCATGGTTCTCAGGTCTTTTAAAAGTGGACAGGTTTAGGCCCCTTTGTAAACAAAAAAAACAGGTAACCTTTGCAAATGTCCTGTGAAGTTCAGGCAGAACTTCTAGCCTTGACTGTCATTCCTTAGGTCCCCCAGGCTTCCCTAGAGAGGAGACACATTGCTCTGAAATAATTCAAAAAGTGCTGAAATAATTTCCCCCATGGCTCTTCATTGGAAGGGTCCTTGAGTTGGGCATGGGGCGGGGGTACACATTTGTAATCCCAGCAGCTCAGGAGGCTGAGGCAGGAGGATTGAGAGTTCAAAGCCAGCCTGAGCAACCTAGTGAGGCACTAAGCAACTCAGTGAGACCCTGTCTCTCAAAAAAGGCCAGGAATGTGGCTCAGTGGTTAAGTGTCCCTATGTTCAATCACCTGTAGCGCCCCTCCCACCAAAAAAAAAAAAAAAGCACTTGAGTCATAGAGTTGATGTTCCAAAAATAGTTGTTTGATTTTTCTGGTCTGAAATAAGGAGAAGAACCTTTTGTCTGGGTAATAACTCAAATGCAAAGATAGGATGGTATGGATATGGTTTTGCTCCTACCCTTATTCCCAGGGGTCGTCACATCTGACTCTGACTGCTGTGTAAACCTTTGGTTTTACTCATGACATGCCTGTGCCTGCCGGTTTCTCTTATTAGACATCGTTCACGTTATCCTGGGCAGTGTATCTCCTGGCAAGGCACCCAGAAGTGCAGCAGACCGTGTATCGGGAGATAGTCAAGAATTTGGGGGAAAGGCATGTTCCAACTGCAGCAGATGTTCCCAAAGTCCCGCTGGTCAGAGCTCTCCTGAAGGAAACCCTGAGGTACAAGTCAGGGGTAAAAGTCAACACATTATCTCCTTTATTATCTCTGATTCTTTTTTTTAAAGTTTTATTTTTAATTGGCAAATAATAGTTGCATATATTTATGGGGTGTAATGTGCTGTTTCAACCCAAGCATACATTGGAATGATGAATTCAAGGTAATTAGCATTTCTATCATTGATCACTTCTGAGAGGTGAGACCCTTTACCATCCTCCCTTTCAGCTGTTTTGAAACATGGAATACGATATTGTTAAGTGTAGTCATCCTGCTGCAGAGAAGAACACCAGAACTTCTTTCTCTTATTCAGCTGAAACTTTGTACCTGATGACCTTTCCCTGTTCATTCTTCTCCTGATTCTTTGTCTCAGCAAATCCTCAGTCTACACCCACCAGCTAAACTGGGTAGGAAAGGGATATTTGTAACTGTCTATCTTTCCTCCTGTCTGGGTTAGGAGAAGAGTTACTCTGTCTTTCCAATATCCATTGTCCTTCCTAAAGATTTTTGAAGCAGTCACTGAGTGCTATTCCTCCTTTATACAGTCGGTCCATCCAGAGTTTCCAAGTGGCTCCTGGATCAATGCTTTTGACTGTGTTCCTCTGAAGAGAAAGTGGAACAAGATTGATTTGTCAGAAAAATACACTGGATTGTTAGGTTAATTACCAGACCTGTTCACAGTATCCTGTGGTTCTTGTGTGAACATCCTAGTCTGAGTTGGAAAAGCCACTTAGTGAGGCTCATTTGCTCCTGGACAGGGCTTCAGTGACAGTGGAAAAAGCTGGGTTGTCTTAGGTGGAAGGGGGGTGGTTTTGGGGGGAGATGGACATTTATGATGAGTGAAATTCCTTCCCCCTCTGCAATCCCCCTAACCAGCATCTTCTGTGGAGGAACTGCTATGACAAAGAACAAAGATTATTTTCTATAGTAAATGTGAAAAGAATTCTTTCAAACCCGATTTGATACCAATACTTTAATTTGCACTGAATCCTTAATTTAAGCATGCTGACTGATCTTGAAAAAAAGAAAAAGAAGATGGACTAGGGGGTGTATCTCAGTGGAAAAATGTATATTTAGAAAGTGTATGGCCCTAAGTTTAATCCCCAGAACCTTAAAAAAAATGGATTTAATTTTTTTAAAGAGTTCTTTGTTCAGGACAATTTGAGAACTGAAGTACCATTTCTTAAATGATTCTTAGGATCCTAAATCCTATGAACTATTCTTTGATAAAGTGGTCCCATGTATACATAAAATTTCAGAAACTTGTAACTTTTTTCCCCCTTGAGAACATAAGACCATGTTCAAAGCTTTGCTTTGTGTTTTGCAAACTTTTTTGACCTAGTAACCCTTTTCATATTCCCCAGAATACTTGCTGTTGAATCTTTCTTAGAAGATTTAGTTGAAACTGTACACTGTTACTTCTTAGATTTTTTTTTTCTTTTGGTACTGGGGATAGAACCCTGGAGTGCTTTATTCCTGAGCTATATCCTCAGTCCTTTTAAAAATTTTTAAAAATTTTTGTTGATTTTGAGGAAGGGTCTTGCTAAATTGCCGAGGACTTGAATTTGGGATTCTCAGCCTCCCGATTTGCTGGGATTACCGGTGGGCACCACTGCACCCAGCTGTTTTTTAGAATGTTTAATGGACGTGGCAATATATTCAGATGCCTAAATGTTTAATGGAGTAGTGTAAGAGTCACTGTTCCATTCCTGTTCCCATTGGTTCCATTCCAGGCTGTTTCCAGTGCTACCAGGGAATGGCCGTGTCACCCAAGAAGACCTGGTTATTGGGGGATATCTGATTCCCAAAGGCGTGAGTTTGGTGGCCATGACAGGGGTGGAGGGGCAGGGCTGGGCACTGGTAGTTGCGTTGGAAATCTGCTTCGACATTCAGGGAGTCTTTGTCCCTTATACTGTGCTTATGAAGATGGTGCTTTAGCAGTGAGATGATTTGTGTGGTCTGACTGCTCTGGAAACTTACTCCTCAAAAGCAAAACAGATGATTCTGTAGCGCACAGGGCCACTCCCTCTAGCCCCAGGCTCTGCCCTGTAAAAGCAGCAGCTCTGCTCTACCAGTTTCCCAAGGATTGGAACTCGGTCTCTCAGAGGCTGTATTGACATGGGAGTGGGCCAGGAAGTGTGAGGGGGAGGAAGAGTGTGGTCCATCTGGGTCTGTGTGGACCTTCTGTGGCTCCCCCAGGCCAGGGGCCTCTCTGAAGGGACAGTCTGGCTAGGGCTGTGCTGGCCTCTGCTCTGCCTTCAAGTGAACCTCTTCTTTCTTTTTTTTAGACCCAGCTGGCCCTCTGCCACTATGCCACCTCTTACGAGGATGAGAACTTCCCTCGGGCCAAGGAGTTCAGGCCTGAGCGCTGGCTTCGGAAAGGAAACCTGGACAGAGTCGACAATTTTGGGTCCATCCCCTTTGGCTATGGGGTGCGCAGTTGCATTGGGCGGAGAATCGCAGAGCTGGAAATTCACCTGGTCATGATCCAGGTGAGGCAGGCAAGGCAAACTCTGGCCTTGGGCGTGACCTCTCTTGTTGGGCTCAACTGGGTCGGAACTTTCAGGTAAAGAAAGAGGACTCAGTTTTGAAAACTTAAAAATAAAGCCAGGGGTTTGCATAAAATCCCTCGTGTACTGTAAAACACCATCCTGGGCAGGGACCATCTCAACTCCATAGGCCCTGCCACATTTCTTTCCTCCTTGGGATTCTGTTTGGTGGAAGGTGAAGATGCTGAATCCTGAAGCCTAGGTGGTATGTGTATGTTAATGGGGTGTGGGGAGTTCTTGGAGCCCTGAGCTCAATAGTCCTGCTGTCCCATGGGGCGTTCTCAAGACAGACCAATGGTCCCTGGCAAACGAGTGGTCCTCAAACCTCATCACATGGGGAGCAATGTGCAAGGTCAGAGTGAAAGGTCAGAGGTTAGATATTTAGACCAGGCCACGTTGGTGCTCGTACACTGTGGAGCTGCCCAAAGACACACCATTCTGCTCATTTCTTTTAATGATGACCAAAGAATGAATGTCCTCATTGAAGCCCTGACCCTGATCCCTGCTTGACTCCATCCTGGATCTGAAGCCTAACCCGAGGACCTATCAATGGGCCTTTAGTCTTTGCCTGGGAGATAAGGCTGGAGAGAGAGGTGGGGCAGAGTGGGGACAGCCTAGTCACAAGTTGGAGGTTATGTTGTTATCAGCTCATCTGCCGCCTGCATTGTCTGAATGAGTTGAGCGAGGCCCCCATCCCTACTAGGAATCTGTATTAGAGCAAGTTGTCTTTTGTTGCCTAAGCCCAAGGGTGGCCTTGCCAACTGGCTGGGCAGGTTATTGCTTTCGGACAATTGATACTTTGGAGTTCTTAAAAAGCCATCATTTAGGCACTTTCCAGTTTTTACCCTAGGAGGCAGGGTTGGTTCTACTTTTGAATGGCAGACAGGAGCAATAAAATCAAAGGAACGTGTCAGGAATGTTTAAATTCAGCCATTAACACCCAGAGTCTGTTGGACCATCTCCCGCCTGCCAACATCTCTCCCTGCTGCTGTGTCTGCATTGTATCCGATGCAGCTGCAGGTTGTGATCCAGCAGGAAACCCGAAATCTCACTTGGTCTATTCTCTTTGATCCTTCCATACCTCCTTTATGTAGACCTAAAATGGAAAGAATGGGGCTAGGATTTTGAAATGAAGAATAAAACCTGAATCATGAGAGCGTTCTGCGTGCACCTCTTCGTTACTGTTGCTCAGTGGACAGGCAAAGCTGTTATATGAGATCTAATGCTATCTCCAAATGGCCAGCATGTCACTGGCCTCCACGTTGAACAGGCACCTTCTCATTGCCTCACCTCTGTGAAACCTCTTGCCACAATAGGAGGAGTAAAAGCATTTAAAGAGCATCCAGAATCTTCTGCTGCCCCCATGTATTGTGTGTGGGTGGTGTTTGGAATGAAACCCAGGGCCTCATACATACCAGGCAAGTGCTCTTGAGACACACCCTAGCCCTGTCCCAATGTTGAATCCTTCTTTCTCTTTCTCTTTTTAGTTGCTTCAGCATTTTGAGATCAAAACATCTTCTTGGACTAAAGCTGTTCACGCAAAAACCCATGGGCTTCTGACCCCGGCGGAGCCCATCCACGTACGTTTTGTTAACAGAAAGTAAGCCTGGCTTTGGAACCCGGGCTGGTGGAGCGGAGCTGGCTCGTCAGCATGCACTAGGTGTGTGTGTATCCCTGGCCACAGCAGTGGAGGAGGGGCTCTAGAGCCTGCCTTGGGATCAACTGGCCTTCCCGGCTCTTGAAGACTTGGAAATCATGCTAAGGAATGCAGTGAGAGGGCTATTTTACTTTTGCCTGCCAGAAGTTGCCTTTTCTTTGGGGAAACAGCTGTTTAAAAAGCAGTGGCACTGAACTCTCAAGTGCCATACTGTCCTCTACTCCGTTTTTAGTGACTGGATGTATTCTGTACATTTGTGTAAAGAAATGGTTTAGACAAATTCAGTTCTTGAACATATATGTTCTCTAATACTGACATCAGGGCTTAGGTAGAAGGCAACTTATTTTTTTTCTAATTTGAAGAGGGAACACTAAGAATGTCTCTTGTAATGCTGTGATCATGGGATGAAAACACCAGAAACAATGTTTTATCCTGAGCATCAGATTTCGATCCCAAAAGAAGGGTTCACAAATTAAAAGGATGGTACTCTTATTCTCCTCTCCAAACCAGAGCTTGCCTTTCTAGTCATAGCTCCTAAAGAAGATGAATATTCATTTTTATTTGAAAGACATATAAAAAAGCCCTTGGTGAAATCAAGAACAGTCAGATTTTTTTTCTTCAACCAAATCAAATCCTAGCAGATGTAGAAGAACTGAAACTATGACAATGTAAAATTGTGTTGCCTGATATGTGATGCAGCTTTCTATTACTATAACAAATACCTGAGATACATCAACTTAAACAGAGAAAAGGTTGATTTTGGCTTACCATGATGGAGGTTTCAGTCTATCATTAGGTGAATCTTCTGCTTTTAGACTTTTAGTAGGGAGGACAGCACATCATGGCAGGAGTGTATGGCCCAGCCAACCGCTCACTTCATGGCTGAGACATGAAGATGAAGAGACTTATATCCCACAATCCCCTTTGAGGGCATTCTCCCAGTGACCTAAGGACCTTCCATCAGGCCCCACCTCTTAAAGATCACACCGGCTCCAGAGAGCACCAAGCTAGGGACCAAGCCTTTGACACATGGCCTTTGGGGGACATTCCAGCAGGCCAGATCCCCACTACAGCACCTAAGTTGAGAGAAATAAGTCAGTCATCATGGGAACCAGTGTAACATTAGAATATTTTTATTTCAAGGAGAAATAAGTCTATAATAGCATTTTTATGTTTGTGTGTCATTTTAAATATTCAAACTGGAAATGAGATCCAGCTGTTGGTGCTTATTGGAGGCTCTAATGGGAAGCCTTGGCTCTCAGGAATATTCGTTGTGCTAAGTTTTGTTGCTTTTTATGCTGTTTCCTGGTTGCTAATGGGAAAAAAAAATACATGATTTTATAATGTTCTGTTCTTTCTGTCATGCCTGAAACATCTTATTCTCAATTCCATGCTGTTTCTTTTTACATAATCCTTATAAAAAATTTACCTAATATATACCATGCATCTTTTCCCTATTCTACAAAATAACCCTTCAAAAAATGGAAATAATATCCTTTTCACATACTATTTTTATAAAATATATGATAACGTTGAAATCTCTGTGTGATGATAGACTAGCTTAAACATGAATGCTATAAAAATAGGTAGAGTTAAGTATGAAATCGTGTCCTATAATCAGCCAAGTGTTGAATTACTTTGAGGTAGGAGCATATATATAAACTTTTAAAAACGAGATCAAATTATATTCTGTTTGAGACTAAAATTTAAAAGATATTGAGAATTTACTAAGCAACCTCTTATTGGCTGTGCACACTGTGCAACCCTCTAGGGAATCGTGGTCCTGCCTGAAGTTAAGAGAGTGAATAGTGAAGTGCAGGACAGAGGGTGACCTCACTCCCCACCCCCTGCCCAACATCAAAGTACAAAAAGAGACACAGCAGATATTATTAGGAGCCTCTGATGTCAGGGTGCCTCATGAAGAAATTGGAATTGAATGGGAAATATCTCTAAATCTACTGTCAGTATATGTGCATAGAAGGTAGAGAGGGACATGCCAAAACTATAAGGAATGCAATCAACAAAATCCAGACTACAGTTTCTGATTTACGAAGGTTCGACCTACAATTCTTTGACTTTACCATGATGTGAAAGTGATGGGCCTTCACTAGAAA